CCTCCTTGGAGTCAGGAGCTTCTGAGGTCGCTTCATTCCACTATAAAATTCTTCCAGCCTGCTCAATCGTGCCGCCAACGAGCCTCACGACAGCTATGGCCAGGGAGAGTGGAGACTCCAATCCCCTGGCGGTCCAGCTGGGCAGGGACCACTTCGGGGCCACACAGTTGCATCTGTTGCCCCTCCGGACTCGTCCCTCTGCCAGTTGTGTTTCTGTCTGAGCGGACATCCCTTGGATAGACACTGGCTTTCAGCTGACCCCGGGGCCCAGCAGAAATGCGTTCCCCAGTGAGCCTTCTAAGAAAGTGGCTATGCGATTCATTATCGCTTGGCGCTGCTCAAGTTCAGTGATGTTCATCACACTCAGGTGTTGAGCAGAAATGCTCCTGAAGCTCAGTGAATTATCACATCTAGTGTTGAGCAGTGCTCCTGTCTTGTGCGTGCATTTCGCTTGCACCTACTGTGCTAAGTCAGGAGTGGAACAGGTCTTGATAGTTGCCCCTTTTTTGGCCCAACCAGATCTAGTTCCCTCGACAGCCTTCCAGCCTTCCTGCCTTCCTGGGCATGATGGCACCCGCGTTCAAAGAACTGGACGGGGAGGTTCAGGTCGCTATCACAAGGATATGTGGTAGTGACCATCACTTCTGCAAGCACCCCCTTAAGATAAGGCAGTTGTGCTTCGCTAGTTAGAAGTGGAACCTATTCGTTGAATGAGTCTTCTCTCCGTGAGGAGATCCTGAGAGCGTTCGGTCATTTCAGTGCTCTCTTTCCTGCAAGTTGGGTTGGAGTAGGCTGTTCCTTCACCCTCAATATGATACAAACATCATATGCAGAAGTATGGGAAGCACGTCCTGATCGTCAGGTTCCTGAGGGAGCAAGGGTCATCCCTGCGCCCCCCTTTATCCTCTTGGGCCTGTCTCTGGTGCGATTGCAATCAGAGACCGCCCCTGAGCCACTGCAGGCAGTGAGTTAAAAATTCTGTTTTTTACAGTTCTCCTGCTCACAGGGTCTCTTCTAGAGGGTAGGGACTTGCTCGCTTTCGGTCAACGACTTGTGCCTGGAATTCGGGCCGGCTAACTCTCACTAGCTGAGACCCCGGCCTGGATATGTGCCCAAGGTTCCTACCTCTGCCTTAAAAGGACCAGGTGGTGAGCCTGCAAGCGCTGCCTGGAGGAGGCAGACCCAGCCTTGGCTTTCTCTGTCCGTCCGCTTCATTGCGGGGTTACGTGCACAGAACGCAAGCCATAGGACCTCAGATCAGCTCTTATCTGTTAAGGAAATCAGCAGAGAGGGAAGGCTGTTTCCAAGCGAGGTTGGCCCACGGATGTGGCTGCCTTCATCTTGGTGAATTCCCGAGATGCACATGTCCACTTAGGTGGTGAGCTCCTTTTAAATGAGAGTGTGCTCCTGCTTAGGCGTTGACACAGAGTGCTTCGATGACAGATATTCTAGAGTTGAGGGCTGGGCGACACCTTAGCCGAACCGCTGCTTCCCATGGGCTCCCTTCACATGAAGCCAGTTTCACTGTAAGCCCGGTTCGTTGTGTTGGCTTGCTGCGCCATTCCGCTCCTATGGACTGGATACGTGCGCAATTCTTGCTCCAGTTGAGTTCCCCTTTTTTAGCCGAACCCTGTCGAGTTCCTCCATACCCTTCGGCAACGGACATGGCGGAATGTCCGAAGCCAGGCCTATCACTCGTATGCACTGGTGGAACCTGTGTTAGGCTGGGTCCATATGCTGTGATCCCTACGGCGATCCCATATGTGTATTTTTCCACAGTACGGCTCCCTGCGGCGAGCCCGTGTCTTCCCTTGGAAGAGCCTGCTCTGCCGTCACTGTTCGGTTGAGTCTCCCCCTGTTAGGCTGGAGCCACCCCAGTAACATTCCATATGTTGTACTGCCCGGTCATCCGCCCAGTTCATATGTGTATTCTCCACATGTTACCTCCCTTCGGGCAGGATGTGGCTTCCGCGGCGTCCCTTCCTTCCATGTTCAGGGAACGCTTTCCCAGTGGTCCTGTAGGAACAGCAGTGACTTCCCTGGCCTAAGCCCTGTCCCTTCCCCTAATTGCGGGGGGATCTGGAGGCTTTTGTCTAGGCGCTGGAAGGTATGTAAGGTCTCGGTTACGTATGTAACCCTCGTTCCCTGAAGGAGGGAACGGAGACGTAGTCCCGTAGCCACTATTGCTGGACCACCGCTGACTCCGAGTTACGCTCGGCTCCTCAGCGAAAAACAACTAGTGCGTGCATCCACTTCTGTATTTATACCCGCGGCGCGGGGGCGGAGTGTGTGATGCATTTCACGCACGCCAATTTCTTTGGCTCGTTTTATAGTACTCGAAGATGACGGTCTCTCTAAGCGTGATCCCAATCAGTCGACACGTCGACTACGTATCCGTTCCCTCCTTCAGGGAACGAGGGTTACATACGTAACCGAGACGTTTTCTATTGGAATATATTTAAAATGTAATTTATTCCTGAAATGACAAAACTGAATTTCCAGCATCATCACTCCAGTCTTTAGTGTCACATGATCCTTCAGAAATCACTCTGATATGATGATTTGCTGCTCAAGAAACATTTCTGATTATTATCAATGTTGAAAACAGTTGTGCTGCTTCATATTTTTGCAGAAACTGTGAGAAATTGTTTTTTTTTCAAGATTCTTTAATGAATAGAAAGTTCAAAATAACAGCACTTATTTAAAATAGAAATCTTTTGTAAGATTATACATTTCTGTACTGTCACTTTTGGTCAATTTAATGCATCTTTGCTGAATAAAAGTATTCATTTCTTTAAAGAAATGTGTACTTACCCCAAACTTTTGAACAATAAATAAGACTTTGATCAAAACTTTTAATAAATAAACACTGGCATTATTACATCAGAGGAATCATGGGAGAACAGAACACACCTTTGAGTTTGGATCATTGATTCGTACCACAGCAACATTATCTTTGACTTCATAACTGACATGGGTGCGAGCTGCAGACAGAGACAAATGAGTGATTCAAAAGAAATCATTAAACATATTTCTATTCATCAATTCTGTTTTTAACAGTTACCCAGCACAGCTGATGATACGGATAGACTTCTCTGTCCATGACCTATGACCCAAAAACATAAATAACAAGTCTAAAGTTACACATGAAACATCCATGAGAAAGTCACATTTCCTTTTAACGAAGTAATATTTGTGAATATTGTATCAGAAAAAAGCTGGTTTGTGTTTATGAAGTGATTTCTCTTATTCTGTAGCTTATAAAATGCAGCTCAGCTGTAAATTAAAAAATATCCCATGTTAATAAGAAACATAAACTGTGTTATGTTAATACCTCTGAATAAGCTCTGCTTAAAGTTTTTTGGCCCAAACAGATTATAATCAATATTTTATTGAATATATTACAGTATAAATCGTAAGATCAATATGTTGCACACCACACAGCAGTCTTAAAGATTATATATTTAATTAAATATGGGGTCTCTGTTTAAATCCAACATCTTTGGCCTAGAATCTAATTGTCGTTGCGCTTTGCCCCAGTTCCCCCATACAACCCCACCCGTCACATTCACATGACCAAACACACACTGTGTGTGAGTACACATGTCTGTGTGTCCAATCAGAGGTCAGTAGGTCATAGAAAGTTTGTATTAGTTAAAATAATACTAAAGAAATCATAAACTTACAACAAACATTGAACGAATTCACATCAATATACATTAATTATTATAATTGTAATATAGCTGTTGATTAAACAGGTTTTAAAGGCTTTTATTAAAACCGATTATTGACAATTGATGCTACATGTATAACATCATAAAATATATAGGCTAATGACTTGTTTGTTTTTAAAATAAGTATTTTATGCTCATCAAGGCTGCATTTATTTGATCAAAAATACAGAAAATATTGTACAGTAATATTGTGAAATATTATTACAATTTAAAATAATGGTTTTGAGTATACTTAAAAATATAATTTATTTCTGTGATGCAAAGCTGAATTTTCAGCATAATTACTCCAGTCTTCAGTGTCACATGATCCTTTAGAAATCATGCTGAAAATTCAGCTTTGCATCACTGAAATAAATTGTATTTTAAAGTATTTTAAAATAGAAAACCATTATTTTAAATTGTAATAATATTTCCCAATATTACTGTTTTTTCATCAAATAAATGCAACCTTGATGAGCATAAGAGACTTCCTTCAAAAACATTAAAAATAGTAATGTTTCCAAAATGTATGTATATATAAATAATAATGCAAATAACAGAACGTCTCTTAAATTGTTTAAAGGAGCATCTGTATTTTTCTTTTTTAATGATTTCACAGAAACTGTAAACACAGTTGGATGGTAACCTGTCACACACAGGTTACCTGTTAGGATGGTAACCTGTTAGACAACTAATTTTGTATTACTAATCGTATATAATTATAATTTAAAATGTTATACACATTACACCATTATTACTATAGTTACATTTGCTCAACTGTGACCCACTGACCAGTACTGTAAAAACTAGGTGAAAGTTCAATCATGCAGGTCACCTCATTCTCTCTTCTATTAGCGCTTTGTAAGTGTGGTTAGGACTCTTAACTACACTTAAAGGCACTAATAACGGATATACAAGTACAATATAATTTATATGCACATTAATACGTTTATGAATATAAGTGTGTCACCTGTGACAGTTTTCGCGGCTGAACAGCAGCTCCGCGACAACAGTAGTCTTGCGCTCGCCATCCTTCTCAAATACGACGTCACTGTCAGCGCGCGTGTACGCACTGCACTGACAAGCGCGAGCAGCGCGAGCTGCGCGAGCCCCAGCAGCCGCCATTTAGGCTGCCAACTTAGCGCCTTTAAATAAAATGATATCCATATCAACCCCATTTAGTGCATATAATAACGTTTTATATGTATTCCTTGGTGTACATTGATGTCAATAAAATTTTCTTTAAAAAATATTTACATATATAAAGTAATAACAAGTATCCGCGGGATTTTTCCCTGCTCAGGCAGTGATTCCGGTTGCCCAATTGACGCGGGGTCCTGCGGATCGTGCACTGCTGTAGTCATTAGACAGACGAAAGTCGTCTAACATCGCACTCTCTCAACATTTACAACAGTAGCAGGTAAAAATATAATTTATGTACTTATATTACATGACAAATTGTGTTTATATGATAAATCCTGATGAATATCTTAAACGGCGTTGTTAGGCATGCGGAATAATGAATCATTGTGCTTGTTTGTGTGTGTTAAAGTGTTATTTTTAATGTCTCCTTACTGTTGCTTTACTGTCATGTGTGGTTATATCATGATCAGTGTTGTTTAATAATGATGCCAAGATGTTAAGTAGCTGTTTAAGTGTTTAATGCATTTGTGTGTTTGTCCTTGTCCAGTCTACTGACAGAAGTAGGTGAAGGGTCACACACACACACACACACACACACACACACACACACACACACACACACACACACACACACACACACACACACACACAAGATCAGTGTCGGATATATATATATATATATATATCACTTTGTATTATCAATACTATCACATGCTTTACAGGTTAAAGTATGAATAGCAGTTCGACACTTTAGCAACACTTGTACAATGTCTAAAAGTCATTCCATTGATGAAAAATGGCCAAGCAAGTGCCATTTATTTAAAAGAAAGATAGCACAAGCAAAGGGTTCTCAAGCAAATAGTTTTAAATGATACAATAAAATGTCATTTTGAACATGAAGACAGTCCGTATTCAGTATATTTGTGGTTAGTCGAGCATGTTGATGGTTAATCTGATGATCTACACCTGTAATTCCTCTGCTAGCAAACATCCATACAGCCTCTAAAAATCACCAACACAACAGCTTATTCAAAGACATTGAGACTTCAGAAAAGTGAGAGTTAGTGAAGATAAAATATCCTGAAGCATTAGAGTGCAAATACACGTAGTTTAGATATTTTGTTACTTAAAGGGTGTTTAAAGTACTTTATATATGTATATCATTTCAGTTTGTATTCATCTTGCATACTTGCCTATTAACAAATTCTGATTTATTCTGTTAGATTATGCGTGCACTTGCTTTGAAATAATAGTCTCTGAATAATCATTCATACTTTTGTCTCAAGCCTTCCAGATAATCAAAGATGGCATCTATGTTGTTGACTTCACTGAGGAGCAGTCCACTGACATCTGTGCAGACTGCCCAGTTCGGTAAGACGTCCTAGGTCACCACAGAACGAATGAACACTTCACATTATGCAGATTATTGAACATTTAACTTGTCATTGTCACTCATTAGAACTGTTTCTCTTCAGCTGCACGTTCTCTCAGCACATCTGTCCATCTGCAAGCTCAAGGTATCTATAGCAATCTGTTTTGCTGTATTCTATAAGGTCCTCATAAAACTAAAGAAAAGAAATACTTAATATTACATTAGAAAAATGCACATTTCTTTAAATATTTTTGTTTTTCTTTTCTGTGTCTTTTATAACCAAATAGCAAAGAGCAAGAAGACGCTGGCCAAACCAGGAATGAAGAACATCGTTCTGGTGGATGGCGTCCGAACCCCCTTCCTGCTGTCTGGCACCACGTAAGACGTGACCTGACAAGTTGCACACAGTGTTTAAGTGAAATTCAAACTGAAACAAAAAAATTAACACAATAAACACAATCATTTGTAAAGAGGAGAAAGGAGATTGTTTATCGATAATTGGATACATCTGATCTTTGGACATATTCGGACACATTACAACAAATCATAACTGAACTTTAACTGTCATGTTAATAATGAAATCCATTTTGTTGGACCGAAGTCGGCTTAAGATTTCTTTTTTAAAGATGACTGTGAATGAAGATGGTTTGTTGTATTTCTCTAACCTGCATCAAATGCTGTTTTATGGAAAAATAAGGATTCATTTATGCATTTGGCAGAAATTAACATTTGCATTCATGCATTTGACAGGCCCTTTTATGCAAAGTGACTTGCATCACATTTAAGGTATATTTTTTTGAGCGAACATTTAAGGTAACGGGTAATTTAAGGTTACAAAATCCAAAACTATATGGTACGCAATTTAACTACAAATTCATGTTTCTGGCTAAATTAATTGCAAGTTTAGGATAAACTCTAACCAGAATGTTTTAGGCCCTGTTTACACCTGGTATTTAGATGCGTTTTGGTCAATCAAAACACAAGTAGATGTTTTAATCTGTCTCTCTTGTCCACTTTCAACCACTTCTCTCCTGATTTCTTCGAGGGGAAGGTCTATGGGCTGGTAAATGTATGGGCTTTTTTGGATCTTTCGATTTACTGGACAAAATAACCTTGCGCTATTTACATGAAAGGAGACGACGAAAAAACACACAGAGAGCATCAGCTTTAGTTTCTGCTCTGACAGCCACAAGACCAGCCGAACGCTGTGTGTGTGTAAGAAATCAGAAATGGTGAGAAGAACATTGAGCTTGGTACGTTTTTCATCTTCAAACCAAACTTGGATCTTCACCCAACAAAGTTTAAATCCAGTCTGGCTACTCCGCTTCCCATAATGTTTACGCATCAGGGGCCGTATTCACAAAGAATTTTATCTTACCACTAGGAGTACTCCTAAATCACACGAAAATATTTTAGCTAGGAGTTTTCTCTTAAAAGTTATTCACAACGCCTTTCAGACCTACTCTTAGTAAGGAAAAATGACAACTCCTAAGCTAAGAGTGAGTCTTCGTTGCTATGGATGACGTCAATTCTCATGCACGAGCTTCCTCGCAATGATCATGGTGATTGGTTGTTAGATGACAGGGCCATCATGCGGAACATAACACAGACGCAACAAATCATGGAATTACGACATCTAAATATGTCTGTCCTACACAAAAGAATAATAGTAATGTCATCGAAATGCATAATGACATGTTTGTGCAGGCCCCAGTGAAGTGTAATTCTAAAAAGGCAGAGAGAGAGAAAAGTCGTAAATTAAATTAAATCAAGGTAGCCTAATACCCTAATGAAAACCGCCACTTGCCTAATAATGAAAAACGACACTTGCATTAACACATTGACATCCTATTAGCCTAAATAGACTACTTAAAGCAAGGAAATGTTGCTCCTATTGAAGTAATGTAATAGTTGAATGACGGTGGATTATGAACTCTCTAAAACGGAAAAGAAAGCCCAACTGGACGCAGGATCAGTAACTGCTGCCCAGTTGGTGCTGAAAAAAAAATAATAATAATAAAAGGGAAATTCGGCACTGGGATATCAAGCAAAACTAAGAGTGAGACATGGGAGAGGATTTGTCTGCAGATCAATGCAGCATTCCCGCATGTGTCGCGGACCCCGGACGACTGCGAGAGGCGCTGGTATGCGCTACAATCCTTTGTGAATAGGTCTTAGTGAGTTAGGAGTCCTCTTGACTTTTTTTAAGCTGTCCCAGACTTAGGTGCTACTTTTAGGGCTAAAATGCTTCGTGAATTACTCTTAGTGAAAAAAAAAATGAGGAGTCCTAAAGTTAGGAGTGACACGCCCATTATTTTTAGGAGTTGCTCCTAAATTCGCCAGTTAGGAGCTACTTTTGGCCTTAAAATTCTTTGTGAATACGGCCCCAGGTCAGTAGGTGGAGAGTAGACGGTGTTTTGTGGCTGTTTTGAACACATGCGGTGTGTTTTCATCTACCTCTGACTGGAAGTGGTCAAAAGTGGACAAGCTCAAAACCTTTTAGACCCCGTTTACACCTGTATTTAGCGTCATCCACTTGGTCCGATCGACCAAAATGCGTCTGAATACCAGGTGTGATCAGGGCCTTAGGAATATCAATGCAGTGATGCCTTGCAAAAAAAACTGTGAAATTATTCTTTGTGTCTCTCTCTGTTTTTGTTATTAGATACGCTGATCTGATGCCCCACGATCTGGCCAGAGCAGCATTACAGTGCGTCACCACACACATTAACATATACATACAGTATAAAGATTCACTCATCGCTTTAATCTTCAGGACTAACTTTCTGTCTGTGTTTTTTTTCAGGGGTCTACTGAACAGAACCGGTATCCCTAAAGAAGCTGTTGATTATATTGTCTATGGAGAAGTTATTCAGGAAGTGAAGACCAGTAATGTGGCCAGAGAGGTCAGTCTGTCCTCTAGTCTGTGATGATTTCTAAAATAGAATTTGGATGTTGAAGCTATTTTTAGTTTTTCAGGTCTGTGTTTATTGATTGGCTGCCGAGAAACATGCTATCAGACTGACCAATGAGAGTTTGGGCATCTGTACAGAGATTTCATCTTATTACAGTCAGAGCATTACTGCAGTGTTTGTTTGTATATTAGGTACTGAATGAACCTTTTGCCACATTTCTGTTTATCAGTTCAATCCAATGCAAGAGCTTTATTTTTCCATTAGGAACTTAAAGTGTGGAGGTTGTCAGCAAGTACTATGCATTCAAACAAATGAACACATTCACATTATCATTATATATATATATATAACAGTGCTGGCAGCTCTTTGTGTCCCATCATCAATGAAAGACCCTTTCTTAGAAATATTACTTTTGCTGCTCGGTTTCTGAGTATAAAATTATTTAGGAACGATGTTAATTTGGAATTACATTTTGCTTTGTTTTCTTGTAGGCGGCACTTGGTGCTGGATTCTCAGATAAGACTCCTGCTCACACGGTGACGATGGCGTGTATTTCCTCCAACCAAGCAATGACCACAGGTACTGAACACACACATTTTGTGACAATAATTATTGAATGCATATAACTCACTTAGGTATATACAAACACATCACTCTAAACAACCATGATTGGTTAGTTTGCATAAACATATTGAAATTGCATTAAAATACAGCAGAGGCAACTTAACAGTTGATTGTTCATTTGTTTTCTAGCTGTCGGTTTGATCGCTGCCGGTCAGTGTGATACTGTGGTCGCCGGTGGGGTCGAGTTTATGTCTGACGTTCCGATTCGCCACAGCCGGAGGATGCGGAAGACAATGCTGTCACTCAACAAGGCAAAGACCCTCGGGGCTCGACTGTCTCTGCTGGGCTCCATCCGCCTCGCTCACCTCGCACCTGAGGTACTACGTTACCCATAATACACCTCATATTTTACCCCCAGTGCACCTCAATTTGATTATCATTAAGGGCTGTGTTCCAGTCCACTTTTAGACATGCACTTGCAAACTTCCCTAAGCACTTCCCCTCGGGGAATCCCTGCCGCCATTTTGAAGTGCGTTCCACTTCGTGAAGTGGACGAGGGAAGTTTATATGGACAGACACTTGTTCCCTCGATTTTGACCGAGGGAGCGAGTCTACTTCATATGTAGACTTCAGGAAGCTCCATATACCACAATGCAACACAATTGTGACGTCACCTCAGATCTCGTCTAATCACCACCACCACAAACAACTCTGATATATTAATTATATATATTTTTAATTTAAAACAACCCAAACACACCTAAATACATTTGGATGCTGCATTAAACAAATTCTTAAAGGAAAAAAAAATGTAAATAATAAATCAACTCCATGGCTGATTCCAAGTGATCAAGGGCTTAGGACGTTCCAATTCAGCCAATTGTAGTTCCTGCCAGTAGTGGGCACTCGTGCAACGTAAGCAATTACGTACATCCGAGTGAACAAGACGGAGGGAAGTTAGTGAGTGAAGGGCATGACAATTTTGGTCTGGAACTCAGCCATGGTACTCTGCTCACATCACAGAAAACAATTTACCCATAGTGCATTTCTCACCTGAGCGAAGGGCAAAGGGACCCGTTTCATATCTAGAAACCAGAATATCATAGAGTAGTGATTGCTCAGATATGCAACAGCAAATCAAGGCAAAAAAACTAGACATGAAATATAAACTTTAGATGTTCTAATTAATCTAAGGTTTAAATTTCCATTTCTAAAAAATTACATTTATAGTTTTTCAATATTTATTTTACATTATATATAATTATTATTTATTATTATTCACAGAGGTAATTAGCAAAAATCGCTAGTAATTTAGCAGGAAACGACTATAAAGCTATAAACTCAACACTTTTGCTTGAACATTATGACACATGTACTGATTTTTTGTAGTTCTCAACCAGGGGCGTCACTAGGCCCTTTTTAGGGGGGCTTCAGCCCCCCTAAACTTCTGCCTAGCCCCCCTAAAAATGTGAGATTAATGTAGGCTACACAAATTCGTGTTCGCTTCAGTCTTGTTATAATCAGATTCAGCGCGTTCTTCATCTTCAATCCGCAGCGGCGCCGAGCAGAGAGCACGTCAGAAACAGAGGACAGGGTGTGTGTGTGTGTGTGTGTTCTTGTGTGTGTTCATCTGAGCCTCATTGGTCTGTCACTGCTCGTCAATGTCAGAATATTTGAGATGACCAATCAAATCAAAGTAGGCAGGCTTTATGTTCACAGACGCTGCTGAGCGCGAATTTTAACAATGCGACTCGACGCGTACGGTCAAGTGCGAGATAAGATGTAAGTAGCTAAACTTAACATTTCATATTTTACCTTTTTCATGTCATAAATGTTAAACGAATGACAAAAAATAATCAGGCAAACTAATATAGTTGTGTCAAATTTCGCCATTTTGAGCTGAAAATAGGCCTATGTAACGTGACTCATGTAATAATTAGTTTACAAGAAACATTAACAAAGCCGTTTTCATCATGTTAGGCACAAGATTAATAATGAATGTGTACATATTGAGAATATAATACAAATTGTAGCCTTTAGTAAATTAAAAAAGCTCAGCTTTAGGAGGGGAAGAGGGAAGAGACTGATAAAAAAAGAAAGAGTGATGAGAAGAGAGCAGCAGGTATTGACAAAAAAATAATCTGCCCACTGACATGGTTTTAAAGCGATTTCTTATCCTTTTTTTTGGTCTTCAAACGTCTTGAAATGCACATATCAGAGAAATAAAAAATTTGAACCCCCTACCAACCTCAAATTTAGGACCTCTGTGATTATAAAGCCCTGTCTACGGCCCTGTATTAGGCATAAGATCAATTATAAATGTGTAGCCTACATATTGTGAATGCATTTAATAAACTTACCTTTAGTAGCTTTCAGTAAATAAACGCGTCTGAGAAAATGATTCATAGGCAAAATCACCCTATCAGTTGACCCTATGTTTACTTTCTTCACTGACAGACAAAAATGAAAAGCCTTTATCAGTCAAAGCTAAGCTTTAGGAGGGGAAGAGACAAGGCAAGATAAAAACAAAGAGAAAAAGAGTGTGATGCTGATGAGGAGAGAAAAATAATCAGCTGCCCACTATCCAAGTTTTTTGGCCTTCAGAACATCTTAAAATACACATATGTGATCAGAGAAATCAAAATTTTCTCGGGGAGACCCCGAACCCCCGTATTTGCCCTGCCTCACATTTGGGATCACAGTTATTATAAAACCGTGCCTTTGCATCGTAATGAAAATGGTTAATAGTGAGCTTTAGATCCTAAACTAAAGTGTTACATTTTTTATAATTTTTTTAAAAATCATATTGGGGGCTTAGCCCCCCTAAAATGAAAATCCTAGTGACGCCCCTGTTCTCAACCCATTCTTACTGATTCTACACAACTATCACAAGTCTAATAGAACTATCTGTATTATAAAATGTAATCTAGGACATCTATATTTCATTTTTTTAATCTGCTTTAAATACAGTCCATATGGTATTGTTGAGTGCCCTTCCTTAAAAGCTCTTAAATGTCTGTCTCTGAATGTGTTTAGCTGCCGGCAGTGGCCGAGTTCTCCACAGCCGAGACAATGGGTCACTCCGCGGACCGTCTGGCGGCTGCATTTGGTGTGACGCGTTTAGAGCAGGATGAGTTTGCGTTGCGGTCTCACATGCTCGCAAAGAAAGCTCAAGACAGCGGGCTGCTCAGTGATGTCATCAACTTCAAAGTGCCAGGTGAACAAGTAACACAATTGTAACTTTCTCGTAGCTATTATATTATACAAATAGTTAAACTTAGCCCCTTTATTTTAATATTTATTATTATATATTTTTTTTATACTTTAGTTTAGTCTCTTATGTAAAACTAATTTAGGAATCTTGGATTGTTGTCTTTTTGGATGTCATGTTATTGTTTGTATGTTATGTCTAATGTCTAAAAGAAAAACAAGTAACACAATTACAACAGCACTGGCCAATTCATTTCAGTTTTTGACCAAAAGCATTAATTCAGCTTGCAGGCAATTTGATAAAGTGCAATACGTAAATGATTTGAACATAAATAACAAGATTTTTATTGACAGGTCTGTTGCATTAGTTTGATTTAAACAGTTCAGATTGTTGCTCAGAATGTTGTGATGATGTTTTTGTCACAGGGAAGGATATTGTGTCTAAAGATAACGGGATCCGTCCTTCCACCATGGAACAGTTGGCCAAACTGAAACCCGCCTTCATCAAGCCTCACGGCACCGTGACGGCTGCAAACTCCTCTTTCCTGGTCAGTTTATCGGAGATAATTCGGGTTTATCTAGTTTGTTTTTTATCCCTTTAATTTAAGGAACATCTGTCAGATTTGTCACTCAAAGATGAACTCTCGCTGTGTGTGTGTTTTCACTCAGACTGACGGCGCGTCTGCAGTTTTGATCATGTCAGAGGAGAAAGCTCTTGCTATGGGTTACAAGCCTAAAGCATATCTCAGGTACAAAAACAAAAATAATGCCTTGCATTTAAAAACGATCACCAGCAGCGTCTCACTGACATCATCTGTATTTTCCTAAACAGTTTAGCTGATCTTTGCAAATTTACCCATGAATCATGGGTATTTATTGAAATGCGTTTATAGAATTTAAAGGGTTAGTTCACCCAAAAAAGAAAATTATCCCATAATTTACTCGCCCTCAGGCCATAGTGAGAATTTCTCACTAACATCAGTGTTTATTCTTTTAGGGGAAATAAACCATAAAACAGTTGCTGTTTTACACATTAAATTGGTATAGGTGTATTTTAATGTTGGAAAAAGATTCATTTTATCTTTAAGTAAATCTGATGTTTTCCTGAAGCTGTTTATAGTGTCCCATTACAGCAGACAGACGTCATGTGCTCATCTCTACAGCACACAGCGGCTCGTGGTGCTGATGTTGATATTGCTGTATGTCTGTGTGTTTTTACCTTCAGAGATTTTGTGTACGTGTCTCAAGACCCAAAAGACCAACTGCTTCTCGGGTGAGTTTCTGCTTCTTTTCTTCTTTCCTCTCTCTTTCTCTTTCAGGCCTGTGAGGTTTTGTGCTGTGGGTTTTGTTATTGTTGTGGTTAAGGTGTGTTGTGGTGGCGTCTGAGTTTGTGACTGACATTCTTTCAGTCTGCAGAAAAATGAGACTCTCTGGTATATATTCTTATTTGAAAGGTTTTGTGTAGGTTTACATTTACGCATTTGCCATTTTTTTGTTTAAACAGTTCTTCCAGAAAAACGTGGAGTTTTTTTGTGATTGTTTCTGGCAAAAATCCTTGATTATGCGGCCCGTTTTCTTTAAAAATGCGATGGAATATGCGGGATATTTAAGCAATTTTATGCGATGAAATTGCGAGAACTTGCAAAAACTGCGGGAACTTGAAAAAGAGAAAAAAAAAGTAGGGCTGTCAAATGATTAATCGCGATTAGTCGCATCCAAAATAAAAGTTTGTGTTTACATAATATATGTGTGTGTACTGTGTATAATTATTTTGTATATAAATGCACACACGTATATATTTAGGAAAAATATGTTATTTATATATAAAATGTTTATATTTATATAAAATATACATTATATATAGGCTACATTCAGTCTATATACAGTATATACATGCAAATATTTTACACAGTACACACACATATATTATGTAAACACAAACTTTTATTTTGGATGCGATTAATCGTTTGACAGCCCTACAAAAAAGTGATTCCCCCAACACCCTGTTCTCACTAGGCCACTACCTTAATGTAAAGACTCATTTCTTATTACTTCCTATGATAAGCAAGCATACTACATCACAGAAAGTGCTGGAATATTTAAGTTCTCATCTTGTTTTATTTCAGACCTTAATAAACACATCAAACTTAGAAAACATTGAGTCAAACAAGTTCTGTAGCTTTACAAAAGGAATATGCTACAACTTCTGTAAAAATGAATGAATTAAATTAAAAAAATAAAGTTTGCTCCTGTTTTACAGCTTTTCGATGATGTTCACGTCGCGTAATTACGTCACTTTATAACGTTCCCATGGCAACAGGGGGAAATGGCTGCTCTTGTGTGAAGCAAATGCAACATTTTTCAACTTTCTGCTAAGATATATGTGACTTTTTTGCAACGAAAATGCGAGGATTATGAAATCATGCAAGCACTGCATATTTTGCACGGAAATCGGCAATTTATGCGGCGAAAGTGCGGCGTATTTGAAAAAATGAGGCCCCCGCATGAATATGCGGACTTTGGCTGATTATGCACTGAATCATGCGATGGCATAATCGCGTTTTTCTGGAGGGACTGTTTAAAGGTTAATTTTCTTCATATTCTATCTATAATTACTAGTAGTCATTCATGGTAGAGACAGGCTTATAATCAGTTAAGCAAGTATATTTGACCACTATTGACACTTTGAATTTCAATTCTACTTTGGTTCCCGCACAAAGCTTAAGTAATTTATTGCTTGCATAAATTATTTAGCTTTTTAAATGTTTTTTAAAATGTTTTTGAAAGAAGCCTCTTTTGCTCAAGGCTGCATTTATTTGACAAAAAAACCCCCAGTAAAAACAGTAATATTATTACAATTTAAAACAACTGTTTTCTATTGGAATACATGTTAAACTGTAATTTATTCCTGTGATCAAAGCTGAATTTTCAGCATCATTACTCCAGTCTTCAGTGTCACATGATCCTTCAGAAATCATATCAATATGATAATTTGATGTTCAAGAAACTGTTCTGATTATTATCAATGTTGAAAACAGTTGCCGCTGCTTTGCTTAATATCTTTGTAACATGAATCATTTTTTTAGGATGAATTGAAAGTTCAAAATTGATTTAAAATAGAAATCTTTTTATAAAAGATTATAAATGTCTTTACTGTCACGTTTGATCAATTAAATGCATCCTTGCTGAATAAAAGTATCAATTTCATTTAAAAAAATGTTTTACTGATCCCAGACTGTTGAACAGTAGTGTAACTCAAGTGCTAGTTAAATCACAAAACTATTTTGCATAGTGCCATAAAAAATTATTTTGTAATTATTATTGTTGTTGAAGTACATATTTTTACTGCTGTAGTCTAAAATACATATTATATTGATTATTGATCATTATAGTGTCAAAAAGCAGAAATAAAACTAATTTAATTTGGTTCTGCATATTGATTATGAAAAGTAGTAGTAATCTGTGTCAACTCTAATATTAAGTGAGTTTGAAATACAGTATGTAAAATGTGCTGGGTTTTTTTCCAGTGTGTGTGTTTTTATTTATTTTTTTTGTGTGTTTTTTTATTCTCTGTTTCTATCTCTTTCTCTCTCATGTCACTCACACTCATGTCCGGGTTGTTTTCTTTCTCAGGCCGACCTACAGCACTCCAAAAGTCCTGGAGAGGAGCGGACTGACAATGAACGACATCGATGTGTTTGAGTTTCATGAAGCTTTTGCTGTAAGCATCACCTTCAAGTTTTCCATTGCTACTGCTTTAAATATCCTGTGTTCTACAGAAACTTACAGGTGAAACTCGAAAAATTTGAATATCGTGCAACAGTTCATGTGTTTCAGTAATTCAAATTAAAAGGTGAAACTAATATATTTAGTATATATAACTATATACATATGCATGATTATACTTTTCAGAGGTCGACATTTTCAGTATTTAAAATCCTTTTTTTATTGATTTCATGTAATATTTTAATTTTCTGAGATTTTGAATTTGGGGTTTTGATGAGCTGTAAGCCATAATAATCAAAATTATAACTTTTGCACGATATTCAAATTTTTCGAGTTTCACCTGTATTTAACAGTTATTAGTGAGTGAATGGTGTTAATGTTCATTTCATTGTTTCTTTTTACAGGGTCAGATCATGGCAAACCTGAAGGCAATGGACTCTGACTGGTTCGCTCAGACATATATGGGCAGAAAATCTAAGGTAGGTGTGTGTGTGCTCACACTATGGTGTGAAAAATTGCTTAAAGATTGTCCCATAGGTTGTGCATTCAAAGCCCAAGAGGGTTTGATTCATGAACTATCACCGTCGTGCCCTTGAGCAAGACACTAAACCTCAGGATACTCCAGGGGGATTCAAGTGGTAATAAATGTCACATTGCGTAAGAAAGCATCAGATGAATAAAGAATAATTCTAGAAACCAGGGGCCCTCATTTATAAAGACGTGTGTATAAAATGATCTTAAATGCTAATATGTTCAGAAACTATAAATGATTTATAAAACGTACGTATGCAAATGTTCCTAAATGCTTCTCTCTTTATGCATTGTAGTAGTTCATTTTAAATTCAAGCGCAAGTGCATCAGAACGGCCACATAAATCTCCTAATTGTTCAGAGGAAGTATGGCGCTCATCATCAATGGGCAAGGAAACCCAAGCGCGCTCTGAAAACTTGTGTGCGGTTTATGGCTCGGTTTCTGTGCAACGCGTGTAGGCATTTATTATTATTATTATTTTCAGGAAAAATACTATAAATATTACATAAATGTAGTGATTTCAGTGATGTAATTATTAAAAAACAGTTAATATTATGCTTATTTGTGCACTTAATTATATAAATGCTTATTGTGATTGTCTATTTATATTACATTTTCATAAACCGTTAATTGTTGAATTAATTGTATTACTTTTATCCCAAAAAGTTTGTAGGCATGGTCTTCAGTTGACGTACATATAAGAACATTTTCACATCCGTTTCTGACTTTATAATTCCCTGATCCCAAATTCATGTTTTTTCCACTTGAATTTTTCTGGATTGGTTTTTTACTCCATTTTAATGGTTAAATTAAAATGTAATAAATAAAAACATGTCTAATTAATTGAAATCATGAAACTTACACAATTTGGCAACAATTTATTAATAGTTTAACCGAAATCATGTTTTTTTCCCCTCAAATTTAATTTTAGTTTGACCAAATTCTGTGTTTTCTGTTTTAAGTTTTCTGGATTCCATTTGAATGGAAATTAAAAATTTGACGAAGTCCGCCTTGTACAGTATTCCGTTTTTATGACTGGATTCCGCAATTCTGTCCACGTTTTCCTCATGGCAGAAATCATAGGGCTCTATATTTAGGATCAAATCCGATCATATGATGCGTCTTATAAATGAGGATCCAGGTTGTTTTACTTTCTAAAGAAAATGTGAGTTGCGTTTACCATGCAAAACTCACTATTTCTTAAGCATTGATTTATGGTTGCTAAAGATGTTTCACTAGTCGACGCGAAATTGGTTGGAAAGTAACCATCTGTTGATGAGCAATAGTAATGAGATTGATGAAAATGAAAACTCATGATCATTGTTTCTCTGTTTTCTCAGGTCGGTGTCCCTCCAATGGAGAAGTTTAACACATGGGGAGGTTCTCTGTCTCTTGGGCATCCATTTGGGGCCACCGGCTGTAGACTGGTGACCACCGTAGCTCACCGACTGCAGAAAGAGGGCGGTCAGTATGGTCTGGTGGCAGCGTGTGCCGCTGGGGGACAGGTGTGTGACACGATCACTTCTACAACGTACTGGACAGATTCTCACACATGTGGAAATATCCTCATAACATCCTCTTGTATGTGTGTTGCAGGGTCATGCTATGGTGATTGAAGCGTATCCTCAGTAATCGGCGTACTTCCACACACCGGAATGCTCTGTACATGCACACGAATAGTTTCTGTAAATACTAACGTGCCGTAATGCCTTGAAAGGAAATGTTCCTGAAAGTTATCTGGAGGTTCTTCATTTGGAAGGATGCTTGTGACGTGGATGAAAATGTTAATGTACGGTAGCCTTATTTGAAAAACATGTTGAGGATAATGTTTTGCATGCTAAATATAGCACTTAAAACCAGGCCAGTTAGATTTGGACGTTACGTAAGAAGGCTACAATTCACAGTTGATTTTTGAAAGAGGTGATATGGATTTTTTTGGGTTCTAATTCTAAGCATTGTAATCTCCAGATAAAGATAATTTTATCTATCAATTTAGCAGCTGGATCTCTTATTGCTGTTTATATAGCTGGATCTGATATTGTTTCATACGGCAATATTAGCAGATCCATTGTCAGTTTATGGCGTTTAGCTCTTAAGAAATGGATTGTAAGAAGGACTGATTCTAGATCAGCCATAAAGGTTACGTACTTAAACACACGTGTGCCTCAGATTCAAGCAGGTGAACCTCTGAACCTTTTCTAACAGTTTGTACAATAAACGTAATTTGAAATCGCCAGTTACGTTCATGTTTTTCATGTTACATTCTATAAGATGTGTGTGTTCTATAACATGTTAGTTGCTTGGTAACACTTTATGGCTCATTCCACATAACAAGGGATTTTTCATGTCAATTTATTTAAATGTTTAAAATTGTAAATGTTTTAAGCATTAATATAATGCATTCCGACCTTTGAGGATATATATATATATATATATGTAGTTACACACCAAGGAATTATATATATTTACACACCAAGGGATAGGCCTATATATATATTATGTTTAAAGAATTGCACATTTTAATAGCGGTAATGGTTATTTATGATGGGTTGAAACACCTTGGGGACACAATGAGTTTTATATAATGCTAAACAGCTCATGTTCTACTTTTGTAGCGTTTTGGTTTTTTTTTTTTTTTGTATAAATATAACAAAGAATTAGCATATACAATATATTTGGTGATGTTATTGTAATGAAACTTATAATAATATAGCCTTCAGTCATATGAAGAATAAAGGCGCTCAAACGACGGATTGCCTGATGTTGACGCAGCGTTACGTCACGTGCAGCGCAAGTTTTTGCGCACATTCATAAGCGAAGAGCTGTTTACTGAGTGTGTAATTGTATCATATGCACCCAGAGGATCATCCTCCTGCGCCGTGAATCCCTTGGTGTGTAAATACGAGCGTTTCAACTCCTCAGAAGATGAACTACAAATATAGCCGTTGGACTGAATCGCTACGGCGTCACGATCCCAGATGAACGAAAAAAAAAAAAAGAAAACTCCCTCACAAGTCCGCGCGACACGGATCCGTTTCATCCCGCCCCCTTCACGACTCGACTCAAGTTGTTTTCCTTCAAATTACTCGTTTGCCATCATTTCACATTCCGCAATACGTCGGCTTCATTAAATTATTTTTAAACGAATTAATTCCAATATTTATCACGCCTCTAGCCTACTTCTATATTTGCGTATTAATGTTGTTATTTGTGCAGAAAAGTTTTTTGGAGCGCTTCAGAGATTTTGAACAGGAGTGAGGTGGAGAGAAAAAATGTTTTTATCCAGATGCAAAACGAAGTAAAATGTAAATAGCGGGTTGCGTGTCGTTTTTTTTTTTTGTTTTAACCTTCAAACGTCGTGAACCCGCGAGACGGGCGCCGCGGCGCGCGCTTTGATCAGCCGCGCGCCTTTTATGCCGTTTGACTGGAGAATGCGCGCGGTGCTGTCGGTACAAATCTGCCTCACACTCCTCACCCCGTCAAACGGAGAGATGGGGGTGAAAGAGGGAGAGAGAGAGGTGGAGGGAGACACTTTAATCTCGTCCTTCTGCTCGCGCTCGCACCTGCAGAACCTCTCGCGCGCGCTCTTTAAAGAGGAGCGCGTGCGGCCCCCGCGCGCATCATCCACGAGTTTAACGGTTACCGGGTGCCGCTGCGAGGCCATAATGACAAACACAAGCTGTGAAGAGTATATTATAACATTTTAAAAGCCTTCTGCTCAGGCTCCTGGGAACCGAAGGTAATTGTTGAGCCGATATAGGATAAAAGCTGTATTCTAAACTTCGTTTGGGGGAATTTCCCATTAGTAAACAGGTGGAGAATATAAAGAAAGTTGTTAAGCTCAGATGTTGATTTTGTAGTTTCATGACTCACTTTCTCAATAATATTTGGTTTTCGTTTGTTTTGGGAGGGTTTCGCTAACTAAGTAGCTACCAACATGGTATTCTCAGGTAACTTAAGGGTAATATCTGAATCCTATGATACATTAATATGGTAGGCCTAATCATCAATACCATGGAAGCTCTGCTACCATTTTTTGTAAGGTTTTGTCATTTTTCTTTTTGGTGGGGCCAACATTTTTCATCTGTAATAGACCAACGTGATTCATATTCAATGACCTTTGACCCTTAAAGTAATTTTTAAGGGGTTTTTCCTGTCATTTATTGAGGTTTGTCTCACACAACCCAGTGAGCTCTTTGGGGCCTCTAGCGTAATAAGCTAACCATCAAGATGCTTTACATCAAAAACTTTTTTTGCTACTGTGAATTTTTGTGTGTGTGATTTTCATCATACTAATTCTAACAGGAAGAGCTCACACAACTGTTTACTATTGTAACCTTGCAAACTTATTTTCACAAGCATGAATTTAGCTAATATTTTTGGTTACTGAAACATTTAAACAATGTATACTATATAAGTATATGTACGTAAAAAGCTGCTTAATTGTAACACCCCCCAACTTTTGACTTTTCTTTGCAGGGATTGAAGTCTTAATTGGATGGATCTTATGTTCAACAAGACCGGTTAGTGTGAACTCAGATCATATAATCAGTTTTTAGGACACTTAAATGAGGGAAGGAATCCAAGATCAGTGCTTTCTCACTCACTCGCTCACTTTCTCTCAGAGAACTTTGGTTCTTTAATACCTTTCTTTTATATCAGTGGCACATGCAGCTGTAATGTGTGTACCATGAGCACACGAGAAACGCTTTTCCTGTGAATATTTCAGCAGTTATTTTGTGTGTCCCATATTTCTGTCTGTGATTTGACCGAATGTGTTAGTAAAACGGCCTGAATCGATTTGTATTCATTCGGACCGGTCTCTCAATGAAACATCTGAAGCGGTTTCTCAGTCAGTAAAACAAACAAACAACACAAACAACTAGGAGAGATAGTTCATCCAAAAATGAAAATTCTGTCATCGTTTACTCTCATACAGGTTTGGAACAACATAAAAGTATGTCTGCTTAACACAAAAGATATTTTGAAGAATGTTGGTAACCAAACAGTTGATGGACCCCATTGACTTGCATAGCATAGAGAAAAAAAAAACCTTTTTGGGTGAACTATCCCTTTAAGGACACTAACAACAAACAGTGTTGGACGACAAACAATTGAAACAAAAGGCTACTGTTTAGAGGTAACTGAGAAAATTCTGCTACTGCTGTGTCATGTCAATTACGGTCCATTCACACCGAATGTTTTCTGTGCTTCCTCAGTTTTTAGTTGTTGATGTGGACACGTGCTAGATGGATGTCTTTGACACTTTTTCCTCCCTTTTTGTCTAGAGACACATTCGTTCTGCTCAGAATCTGAAGTCTTATTATAGAAATGCTAGTTACATGAATGCTAAACTAACTAGAAAATAAAAATTTCTCTCAGAGTTGAGTTTTTTTTTTTTTACATATATTGAATTTTTGAACCTTTCAAGGGTTGTTTTTGCCCAAAAAAGGCCTTTCTGAGTACCCTCAGAAGAAATCCTGCAGTTATCTATTAGTATAAGATCAGTTCTGTCTTGTCCACATATTTACCACAATTAGGCCATAAAAGCCCATAATTCTCCGTCAGACTCATCCTGCATTTTTCCCACAGAATTGGTACACCCATAATTACATATCCTCCGCCCCTCGCTTGTTAAATTTTCTTTTTGGCTAATTGGTTTGGATGTCAGATACACAGTCTGAGCTACATTTAGATATTGATTTTCTTTCCAAATCTGCACAGAAAATGCATACAATTTTCACAGATTCTTATAAGCAACACGGCTCAACCTAAACACGGATGAAATTCCTAGTCGTTAAAAATCTGTGCTGTCTCTAAAAGCATTTACTTGTATCATATTAATGTTATTTATGCCAATTTTATTTTAGGTTGTCAAGTCTAAGACATGTACTGTGTCTCATACACATTTATTTGTGGTTGAAGTGCAATTCATTCAGAAAATGCAACAAATTTCCATCTGCCTCTATTCAGATTTCATCTATTAACAACTAGGCTCAATCAGAATGCTGATGAACTTCCTAGTCGTTAAACATCGGTGCCTAGTTTTACCATTTCTGAAAACATTTACTTTCCACATTAATATTATTAATACCAATTCCGAGAGTCTGTGACATGTACTGTGTGATTTCTTTATTTTGACCATGCATTTAATACAGAAGTAGTCCTGTACGTTTTATATATTTGATATACCGCTGTGTTTTGCGTATTGTTTCGTTTTTATTTTACTTTGGAACTTCCTGTCTTCAGCATGTTTGCTTTAAAAACCCCAGAGAGGGAATAATTTTCCCCAACTCTAATTTGTAAATTGCATCGATCGTGGCTGGCAGGAGATATGCCGGTGGATTCATACAGAGCGAAGGATTTATTTCATTTTTAACAGGACACTGACACAATTCTCATTACCGGACAAAAATCATTAGCAGCTCCACAGCTACATTCAGACAAATCGAGTAACTGTTAATTTTTCCACCAAGGAGCCATGGGATCCGTGTGTGTGTGTGTGAGAGAGAGAGAGAGAGAGAGAGAGAGAGAGAGAGAGAGAGAGAGAGAGAGAGAGAGAGAGAGAGAGAGAGAGAGAGAGAGAGAGAGAGAGAGAGAGAGAGAGAGAGAGAGAGAGAGAGAGAGAGAGAGAGAGAGAGAGAGAGAGAGAGAGAAAGTGAAGGGGGGGTTGGATCTGGTGCACAAAAAAATATAATAAATTAAAATGGACGACATGAATTGAGCGCCGAATGTCAAACACTGTCAACAAGATGGCTCTCTGTCACGGGGAGAATTTGAGACATTAACAGCTTCTGTCATTCTGCTGACAAAATGGTAGCAGAGATTTCCCAGGGTGCCGAGATGACTGCTGGCGTTTGTCAACAAGCCGCTGTCAGCGCAGAGAGAGAAAGAGAGAGAGCGCGCGCGCGAGAGAGAGAAGGCATACACAGTGTCACTGACAGCTACCACACCAACATCCCATGAGTCCTCGCCACCCAGAAAGAGAGGGAGAACAAGTGTGAGGGGAAAAAGACAAGAACGGATGGAGGAGAAGAGGGAGAGATGGATGGATGGATAGATAGAAGGAGGGGTGCAGGTCTCTGGTGCACCTTTCATATAAAATTGCAGGAGGAAAATGAGCTGTCACTCCAATTCCCAGGATGCTTTGCTGTTTAGCATAAGTGCGCTGTGTGGGCTGCTGTCGGACAGACTGACTCAGAGAGATAATTAACTAAAGCTGCAGTTTTCCTCCTCTCCTCTCCCTCCCTCCGCCAGACGCCTTCTCCAGCGCTCATCTGCATTTTTGCCAGAGGCGAGCGGTTAGCACAGGAGCCGGGTGGAGAGAGGGTAAGAAGCCAATTAGTCAGGTGGATGGATGAATGATTGACAGCAGGCTGATACCTGAGTCCCACTCTACATTAATGCTGCTGTGCTCGGCTCGGCCTCAAACATGCGCCAGTTCTTGTGTATGTGTGTGTATGCGCAGGCCCGGCGTCGCACGCCATGCCGAGATCATCCTGCGCCCCGGTGGCTTTGTGCGCTTCCCATCCTGTCTGTCTTGCTCTCATCTAAACCCTTTGTGGCAAGTCCGAGTCTTCTTTTGTACCTTACACCCTCCACCCTCAACGGAAAGCAAACCGACGTCTCGGCTACTTTAAGCATTTCCCCGGATCTGTTTGTAGGCATCGTTTAGGATGCCGATGGCCGTATAACAATCACGTGAGTTGTATGGTATGGTAAGCTCCTGTGATCTCACACAAACAACTGCAGAGTCTTGACCATCTCTTAACAGTTGATGCTGATTCTTTAAAAGGTCGGAGAATCAGCTCTTTTGTTCTGAATTCATGTCGAGACCGTATCCTGGTGCGAGCGTAAGCTTTCACTGAACCACAGACGTCCTGCAGCGGTGTCCTGACAGCATGAAGATCGGGATGATACGATAAATCACATTGTGTCTCATGCTCCACCACCTTTACTCGAGATCATTTCAGCCACATTTGTATCAGATGACTTCAGCGTGATGCCAAGTCCTGATCCGGTTAGAAAAGGTTTTTGTCTGTAAGAATTGCCACAAATGAAAACAACAGTTTATTCAATAGGTTGTACTGTGTTAAGGTCCTGTGGCACATATCATTTTTGTTTCTAGCTGTATTTTCAACTAATCTGTTAACTAAACCATGGGATTGACTGCTCATCCAAACTGAAAAGCAATCGGTCCAACTGAGCTTGATCCGAATTAACATTTGATCAGATTGGAAAAATGTAAGCAGGTAAACACTTGAATCCAACTATTTTCTCACAGTGCCGTGATGCGTCTGTTTACACACATTTTATGTCTTACAAATGTACGTATATTTATATCTTACAAACTGGTCAGACTAAATATTTCATGGAAATGCTCTTCTGACGTATTTGGCAGCTTTATTTTTAGGTGTGTCAAAGGCAAAATATACTCACTGGTTGCTCTGGTGTCATTATAGCAGACGCAGCGATTGCACTATGCATGTGCTCATTAGTTAAATGCACATGTAAATGCAATATTTGAAATTCAATGCAAAGTTTAGGGTTCATATAAACAACTTTATAAGGGAAATCGGTTTGGATTCATTCTGATTGACAAAAATTATGTAAACATGCCTAATTTTGGATCAGCTGAACGTTTGACACCAAAATATATGTTTATCTCTTTTTTTCACATCAAATTAAATATAGTGTCTTCCTGAATCTTGATTTGTAACCCTAGACTGATGGATTCAGTTACAAGAACAGGCCCGTGTGTAATTATTAGCTGTGACAATTTGCATGAATTTATGCAATGCTTCTTACTTGTCCCACAAAAAAAAAAAAAAATATATATATATTTATAATGCTCATTGCAAAGCTGCATAATTATATTCACGATAGAAAAAGTGCAAATGACTTTACTTGTGTTAAACATCCCATCTAGATTTGATTTCTTAATAAGCAACCTAAAAAGCTTTTGTTTTATGATTTACTGATAAACAGATGAATTTTGTGTGTGGATGTACAGTATGTACTGTTCAGTTGCAATCAGCTTTGAGTAATCATACAGTAGAATACAATGGAACAGTTATAGTATAAAATTGATTAAATGCATTAATGAAGTCAATATTTAATCAATTGTACGTGTTAATGCATTAACTTTGACAGCCCAAGTTTTGATCAATAACAGTGTTACATAATGTACACCATGTTTTCAAAACGAGACATTTCTTTTTAAGCACCCCTTCCAAATGTGAAGTTTCACACACAAAGAGGCGATTACTTCAAAAGAGCATTTTTGCTGAGCACAGTGAAGCACGTCAGCAGAACTGACATAGCGCAGGTCCGTGTGAGGTCTGGTTTAAAATGGCTGTCAGAAAGGGAGACCCAGCGTTTAGTGTCTGTTTATAGACGTTAAGCTAGTGAACGGAGGGAGGAGTGCGGATACTACACCTTAAGGGCATTTTTCCCTCTGGCATTTTACTGGCTGTGGCGTCATACTGCTAGCAGCATCAAAACACCGGCAGCTTTTCTGAGCTGACAAGATGAAGGGAACATTAAGAGGGCCGGTGTGTTTGGTGAGAGAGCATCACCAGCGCAGGAGATACTCAAAGCTGGACTACTGCGCTGGACTACTGGCAAACAGATGAGCCATCGACAGACTTCCAAGCTTGAAAAAAGTATTTTTATGTGTATTTTGACTGTCAGTTTTTAGAGGCAGGATTCAAATTTGAATGAACGAAGTGCTTTGGTATATGAGGGAGAGAAAGTGTACACTATATTAGAAATAAAAGGTTCATCGGGGTTCTATAGAACCCTGAATCAGTTAAGCCAAAAAGGTTCCATTTGTCTTAAATGATTGCATAATTCATGTTTAACAGGTTATATGATTTTTTTATGATGTTTACAAGCTGTTTAGTAAAATTTTAACAAAATAAAAAAATATTTAAAACTAAATTAATTAAAATTAAATCCATAAAACGATTCCATGCTGGAACCTCCAAAAGGTTCCATATACTGTGTGAAGCACCTGACAGAACCTATAAAACCTTTTTTTTGTAGGAGTGTCTTGGTCTCCAACCCCAAAAGGCCGTTTATAGACCGTCTGATTTATGCACACAAAAATGGCAAGAGCTTTCTGAAAATGCTAAAGGTCAATCTGACTTTACACAATTTCCAAGATTCAGGCGCAGAGGTTTTTATCAGTCCGCCAGAAAACAAAGTCAAGTTCCCAGGCTTCTTCAATGAGAGCTTCTGAGGAACATCTACTCCATGGGTTAGTAACTGGTTAATATTTACATTATTTAGTTGTTTATCACAAAAATTGAAGAAATTGAATGCCAAACTATTCTCTTGCAGTAGTCGTTCCTCATCGTTGTATCATTTGGAAACCAAAGTGTGGCGAAACAAGCCAAGAGGAAAGTGCTGCACTTGAGCTGTAAGGTACGGGTTGGTCTACTTTTCTTGATGTATTTTGTTTTCAGAAAATAACTTTTTTAGAAGAGTCAAAGTTGGGTAAATTAAGAAAACTTGCTGATAGATTTAGCTATTTTTAAAAAAGTTGTTTATTTGTTTTATAGCACAAATAAGGCTAAAAAAGCAACTCCTTTTTCCATTTCACCAGTCAGTTGAATAAAATATGCTAAAAGAAGACTGTGAATACAAGCAGTTCAGTGACAAGGTGATAAGAGACTGAATTTTTCTTTTTTTATTATTATTTTACCTGTAATATAATCTGCGAAACAAGATCTGCTCCAGACGTACGCATGTTTAGATGTAGGTTTCCACAGACTTCTCTTATCATGTTGTCACTGAATTCCTTGATTCCACTGTCTTATTAGAGCTTATATTATTCATTGTGTGTATTCATGTGTAGACATGTTTCCCTTTTCAAAAACAGCCAAATCTATTGGAAATTTCTGTCATTTTCCACATAAATTAATTGGTTATGATAACAGGTATTTGTGTGTGTGTGTATATATAGTCCTCCTCACTTACTTTAGTAGGTTGCAAAGTGTTTGAACTTTCTATTCATCAAAGAATCCTGAAAAAAAAGTATCACGGTTTCCAATAAAATATGAAGCAGCACAACTGTTTTCAACATTGATAATAATCAGAAATGTTTCTTGAGCAGCAAATTAGAATTAATGTGACACTGAGTAATGATGCTGAAAATTCAGCTTTGATCACAGGAATAAATTGCATTTTAAAATATAGGTAGACAGAAAACAGTTATTTTAAAGTGCCCCTATTATGCTTGTTCAGATATTACCTTTCATGCAGCGTGTAATATCTGTTTGTGAATGTAAAAGGTCTTCAAAGTTTTAAAGATCAAAGTGCAAGATACATTTATTGTCTCTCAAAAGAAAGAATAGATTCTGAACTGCTGAAACAGGTCGTCAGTAATTCCAGTCCTCTGTAACATTCATACGCAACAATGGAACAAATTTGCATAATGCCCACCTATGGTCTTCATTGGCTGCGGGCGAACAGCGTCTACTTTGACCCGCCCTCGAACACTGTAGCTGGTTTGTGTTGTGTACATGTCGAGAAAACACTGTTTTCTGCTCTGCAAAAGCAAATTCTCTTTGTGAACACTTCCAAAGGATGAGGATGTGAAGAGTCAGTGGTTAAAATGACCACAGCGATACAACAGCTGTATAACCTTAGACGATTGCTTCTCGCGGGATTTGCAAAAGGCTTATCCATTGACAGTACCCACTTTATTTGGACCAATTTGCTAACAACCTGTAAGTATAATTAATTATTGATGTATAGGCCCTTTTTCAGGGTTCGTATGGGTGCTTGAAATCCTTGAAAATGCTTGAATTTTGATGTTGTGTTTTCAAGGTTTGAAAAGTGCTTAAATTTTGGATAAAATGCTTGAAAATGCTTGAAATTGTAACTATTTATTTCACAACAAATACCTATCTGACTTTTGTGTTTTGTGTTTGTTGATTAAATGGAGAAATAAAATGTAGCCCTTCAGATACAGAGCGATTTGCGCTACGCTGGCCAGAGCAAAAGTAGGCGGAGTAATCGTCACAGAGTGCAGCGGCAAAAGTTGAACTATTTTTAACTTTGACCTAACTCGCCAATGCTGTGCTCCGCTTTGGTCGAGGCAGCAACAAAACGTCCTCGCGCGGTGCAAGCCATTGAAATAAATGGGTTTCATAGCGCAGCACATTCCGCGTCCTGTCTGAAAGGGCCATTAGTGACTGAAAGTACTTGGTGTGATAATGTAAAGTTAGTATTGCATGTCCGTTATGGCACGTTCATCTGTGGAATATGCAGTGAACATAGCCAAAATTACAGCACAGTAACTGTAACGTTAACTACCCGCAAATTAAAACCTGCAAACGTTAGATAAAACGTTTCGTGTCAGATGGAGTGTCATACAGGTAGCCTATACTGTAAGGTTGAGGATGGCCTTATGCAATATTTACACTGCTGTATTCCAGTAGTTAAATGTATATGTCTTGGCAATGAAATACTTTTTTTTATTTTATTTTTTATTAATATAGGCTATTTATCAGGCAGGTGCCTGTGCACTGTCAGAGTCTTCTGGGTTAAAATTGAATTACAGGTTGTTGTTGCACTGTCTCAGATTTGGTTCAAACCTTGTCTATATCAAGAATGTGTGCCAAAACCAAGGGCTGTAAAATATTTCTGTTCAAATATTGAAAATCACATTATCTGGGAAGCAATATTTGGACATTAATATAATGAAAAGTGTTATTCATAGGCATTATCTACTTAGACAGTGATACATTTTGAAAAATAAAACTTGAGATTTGCTTAAATATCTGATCCTTCTGCTATTACGCAACACAATTTTGGCTGTTTATAGCATTACCTTTTTTAATGTGATAATAACACTAAATAATCATTTTGACTATGTATTGGTAATTTACAGTGGTGTAAGGTGCTGGAAAAAGTTTTAAAATGGACCTTGAAAGTGCTTGAATTTGACCTTGGAAAAGGTGTACGAACCCTGTTTTTTTCTACTGGGTGTCAAAATACGTAGTTTTATATTTTGTTGGTCTCTGGCTAACCGGCTAACTTACGTTATTACTGTCTTAAGCCCTATTCGGACTGGGGCTAGTTTAACATGGAGAGGTGGGGTAATGTAATTTTACCACAGGACGTCTGTAATAATAATGGCCAATTCGCACGGGATAAGATATCTCGATTTACGCACCGCCGTCACCACCCTGTCATGTGCGCAGACACATGTATATAACCCATATTTGTATATAAAACAGTTAAGTCTGGTCAGATGCCTTAAATAAATTTAGATTGTATTATGTTGGTAAATAGGCACTTATCTAACGCTAAAAGAAGTTTTGTGCCTCTAAAAAGTGCTTTCGACCTTCTTTTTGATCTGGTATGTGGAAAACACTTGAGTTTTGCCTCAGACTTGTCCCACCGTAGCCTGACTTCATCATACTCATATTCTAGTCAGAATGTGAGTCTGATACTGCTCCATAGGGCTTTGATTATGAGGCATGTCTTAACCGAACCAGAAAAAAAAAAAACTCTGCACTCAATTGGATAGACGTACAACCAATCAGAGCAACACAGTAAGTGTTTTTTTTATGAGCTACAAAGTTGTCATCAGAACTCAACTACACTCACGCTGGAAGAAGTAGTAATGAGTGTTGTTGCTTCTTTTACTTGGTCCTCTATGAGTGCGAGTGTGCGACCAAAGGAGAAACCACAACGACCACAGGGCTTTCATTGCGTCCCATCTTCTTAGCGACCATCGGAGCCAGCTGATAAAATAAACTTTTGCAGAATCCCGTAGGAAGGACGGCAAACACATCTTTCCGACAGACAAATACCTTGATTGCAGTTCTCTGTTCATCTTTTAAAAATGAATGCGCTGTCGATTTCTTTTACAAAAGACGCGATAGCGGAATCTATAACGTTACATCTCAATTCTCCAGCTGCAGTCATCTCTGAGGGAAACCAGTTCAACCCAAGCACTCTTTGATAACGTGATGATTACGTAACTGCAGATCATCTGTCCATCATCGTATAAAGCCCGCCCTGGCAATTTGATTGGCCCGACTAATTCTGAACCGATCATAATTACTCCTCAATGGATCGAGTCCAGACCGAACTTCCCGAACAAAAAATTTTGTGGGCGGGGTTCGGGCTGGCATCCAGGCTAGTCCCACCGCATAGAACGAAACTGAATGGTTTTTCAAGCACCTCCATACTTGAAAAACCACAGAAAACTACTTTTAAACAGGAAATGACGGAATATTTACGTACATACGTACTATTCGCACGGGATTAGTATTACCTGAGGTAGTTTTTCCAGGCCTTTTCACTGAAGGTAAAAGTCGCTGTAATCTTTACTGACATTGTCCGAGATGGCACATTCGGACGGGACTTAAATCACTGAGACACTCTGGTAATTATTACTTTACCCCACCTCTCCATGTTAAACTAGTCCCGTCCGAATAGGGCTTTACTGAAATACTTCTGCTAAGCAGCTTTGGGCAACTATTACCTAAAACTGTGTCTATTTATGCAGATTGACGTTCTTGAGTAATGATAAAGAATGGAGCAAGATTTGTTATACAAACTATAATGTTACATCAGTCATTCACTTTAGTGCTCGGCTTACATATGCGCTGTTATTGATACAGTTCCCACATATGCACCTCAATAAATAAGAAATATACACATCGGCTTGTTGATGCACATACACTTGTTAACACTGATGGTGAGGATTTACAGTTGCAACATCTCATAATGTATGACAAACTGAATAGCATATCACTGAGCAGGGGCGTCGGACTGGGGGTAAAACTAGTAGCCTACTGATTACCAGGGCCCCAAGAGGAGAGAGGGCCTTTGTAAAGTCTGGAATATATTTTATTTTACCTGGATATTTTCATTTCCTAATTCAATTTAATGAATGTCAGATGAAATGTAAAGTTAGTGTATTGGCTGAATAACTTGGTTGATTGACTGACTACATTTTGTATACAAAAAAGTAAAGACTATCTAAGGTCTCACGGTCTGTCTCAAATGGTTTAGTCCATCTGCACGCATTTTGTTTATGTTAGTTAGTTGAGCATCTGGTGGAGCGCAAACTTCTGCTGTAGAAATGTCTTTTTCAAAGAAAACCAAATCAGTCCACCAAAAAAAAAAAAGGAGAGAAGGAAAGAAAACAAAATGAGGGGAAACAATTGGTAACTGACTTCTTTTCAAAGAAAGGTGAGCACAAACTAGAACACATAATCTATAGTGCTAAACTGCTTGAATATCTTTGCGATCATTACTGCTAAAAATGAACTGAAACAACCCATTGAAAGAGCAGAACATACACTTTCAGATGATAATTTGGCTATACATGTAATCTGAGGTAAAGGCTAAATAAATAAACTGTACACTAATAATGCTGTTTGCATACAAGACACCATTAT